GTGTTAAGAAAAACATTCATTTTTTTTTTTTTTGAAAATAGGTAATAGAAAAACATTCATTTTCAGAAAACACAGAATTTGTTACTTTTTGTTCTATACAGTATATTTTTATTAAAATATTTTTAAATGACAATTTAACTTGTGTTAAATAAATTGTTAGTCTTTAATTTTTAGTTTTGATTTTCAATAATTGTAAATTTTATAAAAATTAAAATTAAATATTAAAAATTAAAATCATATTAAATAAAAACTTAATTGATAAAGGAATTAATTTGCTCCACAAGTTATTGATTTTTTAAGAAATCTAAGCTTAACCAGACTAAAAAAATAAATTTAACACAGTGTGTAAAAGTTAATTCTTAAAACTTCTCATCACTGGAAAGCTAGAATGAGCTGAATTTGTGCAGTTTGGTAAAAGAAACAAATCTCATGCCACTAATCACGAGAAGAATTTAATAATTTGAAGGCCATGTGATGTGATTTCTTGTGGTCCCTTGTAAAGAGTCAAAAATTTTCCAATTCCAATCCCCAGCATTCAACTCAGTATTTCACATCTAAAAATGATTTTGAGTAGTCTTGAAATTTTGTTTCTTAGGAGAAAAGAAGAAAAAAATTAGTACACTGAACCTCATACCCTGAAAAAAGGGTTAACATTTTTATTGGTCGTTGATCTCAGTGGGAGCGTTTAGAAAACTAACATGTTCAATGGTTCAAAGTTTTGGCCTTTGAAATTTTGCATTGAAATGTTTCTAGAAGGTTGAACCCCAAATCCACCCTCATATAGGGGTGTAAAGACATGTCTATTTTTAAAAAAATTATAAAAATAAATTACTTTTTTAAATTATAGATTAAGATAAATTCTTAATTTTTTAATATATAACATCAACTTTTTATTAAAAATGTTTATGTGACAAATGAAATTTTGACATCATACATTAAAAAATGATTAACAAATTTATCTCAATATTAAATTTAAAAAGACAATTTGTCCTTTTTTAGGGACAAATTTATCCCTACTTCCTATTTGATGAGTAGACATTAGGGGTTTGCCTTTTGAGAAATTAAACTAAAGAGTTGTTTAAATTAGTTATTTTAGTTTAATTAATAATTAGTAGTTAATATTTAATTATTGATAATTATTATTTTTTGTACGTATTGTAATTATTTATAAGTTAATTGAGGGATGAAGAAAAAATTTATGTGAGATTTGAACGTACAACGCGCAGGAGAGGTGAACAATTCTAATATAAGATCCAATGTTATTGGACCGGAACAAGTCATTCTAATTATTGATAATTATTATTATTTACAATTTAAAAAATATAATTTGTTTGGTTAATATAACAGCAAATAA